GGTGCAGCGGCCACCAGGCACTTCTGGTACTGCACCTGCGGGGGAGACAGAGAGGGGCCGTGGGGGGAACCGCGGAGCGCCACCGGGGACACACACACGAGGGGGCGTGGCCGCGGGGTGGGACGCGACGGGGCATCACCGTGGGGTTGTACAGCACACGGCGTGTCCGCGGGGTGGGACGCGGCGTGGACACGCACCGCACAGCATCACGCCGGGGCCAGACGCGGCGTGACACCCCTTGGGGGTGGCCATGGGGGGGACACGCCACGGGGTCACCTGCGGCGTGGCACGGCCACGCAGTGGGATTAACGCAGCAGCAGCACTGGGGGGACATGCCACAGGGCAGGGCACAGAGCGGCACCACAGCGTGGCTGCGGGCCGACACAGCGTGGGGGGAGCTCCCTGCTGCCCCCCCTGTGCCCCAGGCCTCGTTTCCTCTGAGTGTGCCTGGAGGGCTGGGAAAATAGGGGGCTCAGGGTGTGCTCCCTCCCACTCACCATGCAGGCTGCCTGCACCGCCTCTGAGATGGTGCCGGCGTCGGGCTCGCACCAGAAGGCAGTGCACTGGAAGCGTTGCCCCGTGTCCACGATGAGGGCAAAGGTGTGGGCGTCCCGGCCCACACCCAGGAAGGTCACGTATCGCACCTGGCACTCCCAGATGTGCGCCGCCTCCTCATCCTCCTGCGGGGACCCCGTGGGCCCATCCACCCCTGCCCGCACCCACGGCAGCCCTGCCACCCCCTCCAGGTTCCCTCTGCCATGGGGCTGCCTGTCCCATCGCAGTGGCAGTGGGCTGCCCACGTTGGCCGGAGCCCCCCGTTCCCCTCCCCACCTGTGCAGGGTGCACCCTCATGGCTGTGTCAGACACGCGGATGAGGGAAGGTGTCCAGCGCTCCCTCCCAGGGCCCCTTGTCAGCTTCTCAATTGCTTCATTCAGCACATCCATCCCTGGGGAGCAGGAGACCCCATCCCATCGGTCCCGGCCACAGCTGTGGGCAGGGTGCAGGCAGGGTGCTGGGCGCGGCCGCTCAGCCACCCCACTGCAGGGGGTTCTGGGGTGCCCCCCTGCTGCGGCAGGGCCAGCAGTGCTCACCCATGGCCCTGGGCACGGGCAGGCTGCCAATGTACAGCGCCTCATAGGTCTGCATCGACCGCCTCACTGCTTCCAGGATATCCACTGCCAGCACGGGAAAGGTGGGGCAGGCCCCATGTGCCACACCCTGTCCCCGAGGACCGGGGGCACAGCTGGGCAGGCTAAAGGGCTCTGGCCGCTGAGCATCCAGCAGCCTGAGGGCAAACTGTGGGCAGGGGGAGCAGCCAGCAGCAGCAGGGGGACAGTACCTTGCAGTGGCAGGTCCTCAGAGGAAACGGGCTCCAGCGTGGCAGCACATGACAGCTCACTGCTCGCTACAGCTCGCTCAGCCACAATCTGCAAGAAACGGAGCTCCCGGTGCCTCCCCTTACCCCTGAGACCCCCAGGCCATGCCCATGCCCGCTGGGACCCCTGCATCCCACCTTGGAGCACATCTCATGCAGGGCCTTGGCAATTCCCTTGGCAGGCACGTTGCAGTGGAAGACGTGACACTTGAGGACACAGGTGTCCTTGTCACTGGCTACAAAGGCGAAGTCTCTGCAAGGCCACGAGCAAGCCAGTGAGACCCCAGCAAAGGCAGCCCTGCCCCATGCTGCCCCCATGTCCTGCGCCCCCTTACCTGTCCCTACAGCCGCCGTGGCAGTCAGGGAGGGAGGAGAGGGGACAGGTTATTATTGCTGGGGTGCCTTACCCCCTCAGCAGGCAGAGCCGCCCCCCAGCCCCTAGCTCTGCACCATCCCTCAGCACCTGCCATTGTTGCAGCCAACACCCCAGACACGGATGTTGAGGATGGGCTGGCAGTGGATGAGGCTGTGGTCGAGAGGGTCCACCAGGCTCATGGTATCCTTCTTAAGAATCATTACCAGGTCCTGGCCCTGCAGAGGGTTGGCAGCTCCCTCAGCCTGGTAGACAGCCTGAGCATCCCCAGCACCCAGCCCATATGTAGGGACACCCCCCATCCCCCCAGCCTACTCAGCCCCAGGTGTGGGGACAGGACTGTCTGCCCCCACAGCCCTCCCCAGGTACCATTTCAGTGTGTGGGGACAGCCCACCCAGGCACCCCTGGCACTGTCCCCAAGGGACAGCCCTGTCAGTCCCACCTGCCCTGCACCTGGGACCCATGCATGGATGCCTGAAGTGGAGAGAGTTGACACTGCCACTGGCACTGGTCCCTGCCCCTCCCACCAGGCACAGTCCCCGCCCGTGGGACAGCCAGGCTCAGCAGCAGCTGAGTCCCAGGGTGGGACCCTGCCTGGCAGCACCATCCCAGGCTCTCACCTCGCCCCAGTTCTCCGCAGAGCCCTGGCCCTTGCTGTTGGAGAGCTGCTGGATACAGTTGTTGACGGCAATGCTGCTCTTGCCAGGTGCCAGGTCCTCCTCGGGGATCTCCACCCAGCCCAGGGAGCGCACAGCAAAGCACTGAGCAGAGACACACGGGGTTCAGTGCCCGGCCAGCACAGCAGGCCCCCGCCCGCACCCCTTGCCATGTCAGTGTGGTCACCCTTGATCTTTCTCCCATCTTTGTCCCTGCCAGCCCCAGCCCACAATGCAGCAGTGAAGGCCCTGAGTGCGGTACCTTGGAGCCGGGCTCTGCACTGTGCTCGGCGTCATCTCCATGCCAGGGCAGCGAGGTCCTGTGGAGGGATATGGCAGTCAGGGGATGGCTTCTGCTTTGCAGCATGGGCCTGGGACACCCAGGGAAGTGCCAGGATGCCCTGGCACTGGCAGATACCCATGCCACCAGCGGGAAAGCATCCCATGGAAGTAACCACCATGGTCCTGGTGGCACTGTGGCACATGTGGCACTGCTCTGGTGAGGGGCACCGGGGCCCTGCACCCAGTGGTGGTGCCCCACAAGCCAGCAGAGCACGTAGGCAGCCCTACCTCCGGGACAGCGAAGCCATGGGGCTGGGAATGGGCCTGTCCTTTGCTGAATGCTTTGCCGTGGGGGCCTGGCAGTCCTGGGAGAGAAGAGGAGAGGGGTGAAGGAGCAAGAGACGCTGTCAGGAAGCACCAGGTAGGAAGGAGCCCTCCCTTCTAGGACAACAGTTGACATCCTGTGTAGCCAGGATGAGGCCAAGAAGGAGCCTGCTGGAGCCTTTCAGGGGGCTTAACCCTAGCCAGAAGTGGGCTGAGCAGGACTCTGGGGTGACAGAGGCAAGCATGCTCCAAGGGGGGCTGGACCAGCTATTTCCAGAGCGCCCTTCAGCAGGGTCCTGCCAGGAGGTAGACTCCAAACCAGCCCTCACTCCCTGCTCACAGCCCCTACCATTCCCTGGAGTGTCTCCTCTCCATCGGAGTCTGGGCGCCCTCCTGGACCGGTGGTGCGTGCGGGGTGCTGCCACTGTGTCGTGCCAGTTGGCACATGCCAGTAGTAGGTGCCCAGAGAATCACGGATTTTCCTCCAGCCTGGAGGGAGGTCGGGGTCTGTCTCCAGGCTGTGGTCACTCCAGAGGTTGTCTATGGAGAGGGAGAGTGTGTGGGAATGGGTGGGGGAAGGCCCCTGGCTGCAGGGTGCCTAGAGAGGCAAGCAGCTTCACCCGGCAGTGAAAGGGTCCTGCGGTGGCCTCCATGGCACATGGCCCAGCAGAGAAGCCTGTCGAGGGAAGGCTTGGCCAGATGCCAGGGAGGTGGCAGTTGTGGCAGACCCCAGGGGAGCCATCAGCGCAGGCAGCTGCCTCATCGCTGCCGGGAGGGATAGGGTGACCCCGGCACGGGCACCGAGTGTAGGCAGCCGGAGCCTGCCAGGGGACGCATCCTGCAGGAGTGCCCGGGCAGGGCCCAGCGCTGCCAGCCCAGAGCTTCCTCTGCCAGCATGCGGTCCCCAGCCCCTGCCAACACCCCCGAGCCCGAGACCAGCTTCCTCCGGCTTGGCGGGGGAAGAGGATCTGGGGACAGAGCCCTGGGGTCCAGTAGGAGGAACGCACCCTCGGAGGGCTGCAGCTAGGAGGGGGAGATTAATCACCTCCTCCCCGCACCTCAGGCCCTGGGGCGGGGCGCGGCCGTGAGCCCGCGGTGCAGCGCAGCGGCGAGCTCCGCTCTGGGGAGCGCG